CTTTTTTAGGTCTAGATAAACAACACCAGTTACTTGTTTATTATCCATATGCTTGAGTATGTCGTCAGTAAAATTAGTCAAGGCCATTTCAGTTGAACGATTTGCTCGAAAACCAAATTGCGTCGAGGTTAGAATGGAGTTTTCCTTTAGGTAACCACCCAGTTGATCATGTGCAATCCTTTCGATAACTTTACTAACGGCCGAGAGGACTGAGATAGGGCGATAGTTATCTTTAGATGTCCTTTCTCCATCTTTAAATAACGCAAACACCTTTGCGGATTTCCATCTCTTAGGAAAACATCCATTAAGGAAGGAATTGTTGATAATTCTTGTAAGTACGGGAGCAATTACACCAGCCACATCCTTCATCATTCTTACACTAATCTTGTCTAATCCAGCACTTTTGTTAGATTTCAGCTTGAGCAACTCAGATTCAACATATTCACTTGTGACACTTAGAAGCTGAAATTTAGATGGATAATTGTACTTAATGTTGTCTGGCCAGATAGTTGGTATATTAGTAAAAACTTTCTGAATCTTTTTGCCAATAGAGGTGAAATATTTATTAAGAATCGTGGCAATGGTCATGCTTCCAGTACGTAATTTGCAATCGGCATATATGGCGTTTATATCAGAGTTTGTTGAATGTGGCAGGGTTTCTTTTATCGCTTTCCACATCTTTCCCCCATCACCTTTACTGTCTTCGATTAGTTTACAATAATATTCAGACTTAAGTTTCCTCTCTAACTGATTTGTAGAGTTTCTCAGCGACTTGTACTTTTTCCAATGATGGGAGCTGTTTGTCGATTTGGCCTTTTTGAAATAGAACTGTTTGTCATATCTCATTTTTATCAAATCGGGAGAAACCCAGGGATTTTTAACGCCTTTTACACGCCTAAATCGTATCGGTGCGTGCGAATCAGCAACCTCATTAAACAAATGTTCCCATATGAATACTTGTTCATCAATATCTTCAACCCCCTCAATGACAGACCAAGGAACGGCATTTAGATCACTCACAAAAATTTCTTTATTGTAAGTTTTAAAACAACGATATTCAAATTGCTTTGGTGGCACGCGTTGAACTCCTCCTTTTATTACACAGAAAATTAGTGAATGGTCACTGATCAGTGGATGCATAACTCCAGCTTGAACTATTTTATGACCATTGTTAACATACAATAGGTCAATTATTGTTCTGGAATATTCAGTAATTAGTGAAGTATATTGGAACATCCGAAGGGGGAGGGGGTCAACTTTCAATTTCCTCTGTGGGGCAGGTATGGTTGTTTTCTGTAATGATCCAATATATATTGCACAGGGTCCTATGGTCCTGTAATTTTGGTGCAGTGCTCTACTTTAGTATTTACTCTGTCTAACGCAAGACGATTTTAATCGTCAGTGGCAAAGTACTGCCAGTAAATGGGTTAACAAACCCATCGGTCAATGTCTCTTGTTGACCCATTAACTGGCAATGCGCCCTACTTTTGTATTTACTCTGTCTAATGCCAGACGATTTTAATTGTCAGTGGCAAAGTACTGCCAGTAAATGGGTTAACATACCCATCGGTCAATGTCTCTTGTTGACCCATTAACTGGCAGTGCGCCCTACTTTAGTATTTACTCTGTCTAACGCCAGACAATTTTACTTGTCAGTGGCAAAGTGCTGCCAGTAAATGGGTTAATTGTGAATGAATGTAGCCTGGAGTCTAATTGTGAGATTAGTTTAGTTAAGGTGGCAGTTTACCAATAGTTGCCCCTAAATCAACTAAAAAACTTTTAGGCTCTATTTTTAAAAATATTAGACCAATCACATTGAAAGTTGGTGCAAGGCATGCCACATATATCAAGCTTTGCCAAAGTAGGGGATGGGCCTTGGTTGCTATGGAAACAATGAATAAACAGAAATACCATACTCACTGGCAATATAACTCAAAGGGATAGGTCAAAAGCTATATGCAATGAATGGTTGGATTGTTGTTAAAGTTAATTGCTGAGTCTGAATGCTGAAAATAGCCAGTTTGCATGGTAACAAAGCTGACCAATCCCCTTTGAGTTATCATTGTTACCATTCTCGTTCTTGAATATTTCATTACTTTGAGAAAATCAAGGTTAATTAATGTGCTTCCTGATTTGCAATGGGCAGGATTTTGGCGGGCTCCGGGGGAGGATTAAGGGCCTGCAGGAAAGCCCGCCTTTCATGACTACACGCCGTTCAGATTCTGAACGGTGAATACGATTACCTGATTGGTCAATACCAAGTCAGTGGAAAACTGTAGTATTTGTTGATTTCAATATTGTTGCTATTTAATCCTCGATCTAATCTTGAACATCGATCGCGGCTATTTTTTCTTATTCAGCAGCGATACAAAAGATGATCTCACTGGCCAGTCGTCAGGAAATAGCACAGGATACTGCAAACAATTAACGTGCATGGATGTAAAATTGTAAATACTGATTCTGATGATGTACTATATAAAAGTATTAAGCTCAACATCAACACTTTGAAAACATGTGAAGGGCATTCGTCACTGTGGTCCAGCCACTTTTTGTTTGTAGGGTTTTGCATCACAATATTCCCATTCGGATGACCTAAAAGTACTTTTAATGATTTAAGCACAGTTAATTTAAGTGACGAACGCCCTTCACACGTTTTCAAACCGTCGATGTTGAGCTTACTTCGGTACATCATCGGAATCGGTATTTATATCCACGTTGTCTGAAGTACCTGTGCTATTTTATGATGACTGGCCACTGAGATAATCTTTTCTTTTGTATTGCTGCTGAACAAGCACTTTACTTTTACACACAGATTTCTATTCAGTTCTAGACATACTACCTGGAAAACATCGCGGAGAACAAACGCAATTTGATTCAGTTTGGTTGAATGGACTAGCGCCATGGTCAGTGGGTCAGGAATTAACAGTTTACACTTTCCTGATGTTTCTACATCTTTGGGCTGGTAATGGTGTTGAAACTTCTCATGTAGTACTGTAGTGTATTAACAAAAGACAACTTTCTCACATATAATCTGTGAGCACAATTCCGAAAGATTGTTTTCTTTCTGATGGTTTTTTGTGATGAAACATGAAGAATTTTACTAAAATTGCCAAATTGCTGTTTAATTTAAAACAACATTTACAAAATCTGCAATATTGTATTAAATTGTATTATAGTATTGAGTTTAATTTGCAATATTGTTTGATTGACATGTTTACATGCAAGCGAATATTTTTAGAAACCAATTAATTATGTTATGACTGGGGCGTGTAGTCATGAAAGGCGGGCTTTCCTGCAGGCCCTTAATCCTCCCCCGGAGCCGGCCAAAACCCTGCCTGCTGCAAATCACGCCCCCCATAAATTTGAGGGCCTGCCATGCAGGCTACTTCAAAATAAACTCAGTATGACCACTTTTGGTCAGTGTACCATTTTGGGGGTCAAAAATTTTTTCCAGACATATCAAAGTTCAAATATACACTATAAATTGCCTGAATCTCATGATTTTCCTACAAAAAGCATCGTTGGAAATGTGATTTATCACATAGAATTTTACAACTGAAAGGCCACTTCTGCCCCCCCCCTAGCAAAAGGCAGGGGGGGCAGCCGCCCTCCCCCCCAGTTCCGGCGTCCCTGAATCTAGTTCTTAGCATTCAACTCTTTATAGTTGAAAGTTTAGTTCAATGGTTCTTAGTGACTCCGCTGAACGGAATGATTGCAGTCAATGGTTTACACCTGAAAAAAAAACATGGCAGATAAAGTTTCAAAAAAGGTATTTTTTATCTACATTTTATAATAATATATAAATATTATTGCATTTTTACTTTTACATGTTTATATCATTCATTAACATGATATTTTTGTATAACGTTTTCCTGTTTTGTATTTAATGCTAAAATACGCAATCTTGCTTTTATATATGATTCAATATTATATTGAACAAGACGCCTGCTCAGGCGCTCACACTGGCCTGAAAATAACGAGATACGTGCTATGGTGCAAAAGGCAGGAATACAAATCTTAAACCGCAAGCAAATTTTATGGACTTTTTTTTAAAAAATAAAAGACCTTTTCGGGAGACGTTAATGGTGCAAGTCAATAACTAGGAGTTACTATCGCAAGGAAAGTGCTGCCTTTTTGGCATATGAACTGAATGCAATTATGCAAAAATTTATACTTCTACACAATTCTTGGTTATATCCCCAATGTTTCCTTCTCGTTCATCATTTAAGCCCGTTCACAAACTCATTCTTAAATTGTGTGCACGGAATACGAGTAAATAGCCAACATGAAAATGAAGCCATTGGGTCCAAAAGTGGATATTAAGGTCTATTACCTATTAGCTGCCAATGCACACTACTTTAGTATTAACTCTGGCTAACGCCAGAGCAATTTATACTGTAACGCCAGACGATTTTACTTGTTAGTGGCAGAGTACCGTCAGTAAATGGGTTAACAAACACATCTGCCAATGTCTCTTATTAACCCA